CTCTACATACATTTAGAACCACGCTTAATACTGTTATAATTTTTGCTTTTTTATATATATAAACATGTTAATTTAATAGACTAGACAACAGCCAATGAGTCTTACATGGAAAATTTATTAAAAATTACTTTTTGATAACTAACTAGATCACTGATCATATCACTCTCCTTTTGCAATTATTAGGATCCTTCCAATAATAAGTGACAAAAATCCTTCACAAGCTTACACTTAAAAAAATGAAATGCAATGGTTTACAAGATCTAAAAATCCTATGGCACAACCAGCTTCACATATATTCCAATTTTTTTCTTATGTATCTGGCTGTTCCTCTGTCTTTGTTTTCCTCTGTCTCTTTATGTTGATTTTCTTCATTCTCATGTACACAGGGTAATCTTTTGGTTTATATCCTACCAGCTTAGCAACCACAGTGGAAAATAATTTCTCATTTTCAGTAGTTTCAGTTAACACCTCAATTTAACTCTTAAATGTACTTTTGGTCACATGCCCATGCTTAAACAATTACCATAGCCAGAAATTTGCGATAAGTTAATTGTACGTGGCTGTATCATGTGTCCTTCCTTTAGCCGTGACAGTGAATTCAGTTAAACCTAAACCAACTGGACTAAAATTGGAGAATGGGTTTTCCCCCAGGAAAATCAGGGTGCTATTATCATAAGTATGTTAGGTGGATGATAAGCAGGCAAAAACAAAATCCACTGATTTTTCTCAAAATATAACAAAACATCTTAACCAGTGTCCTATTTATTACAGGAAAAAAAAATCAAAACTCCATTTATACTCTGTGTCAGTTATTCCTTCTGAGATTAATTTCACAAAATTTCCATTCCAACCCCAAAATTGTGGCCACAGTTGCCCAAACAAGCCACAGTCTCTTAAGTCTATTCCTTCTTTCTGACAGTCTCTCTTCACTAATGCATCCCCAACTGCCTCTCTCTATTGGTAGAAACTCATAATAACATTTAAAGATTTGGATTTAAATGTAGTATCTCTGTGAAACATGTCCCCACTCCCATTAAATAATCATCACACAGTTCTCACATTTACATAATACTGCATATATAAATCTATTGCAGCATATAATATATTGTATTTTGATGGTTTCTATGTGATGTTCCCCTTACCTGCACTGTGGATTACTTGGGAATAGAGGCTGCTGCACAGTTAACATATGTCTAGTGGCTCGGGCAGTAACTGACTCAGCTCACATTCGATGAATTATTAAATAAGTCAGATGGAGTAATGTCTCAAATTTAGCTGCCAAATCTTGTCTTTACATGAACAACTTGAATGAAGGGTTTCCAAGCAAGCATTAGGTGGGACTGGTAATATTAATGAGTCCAGAAACTCTTAGAGTTCTCCTTCAGGTAGGATTGCAAACAAGCATCATTTTTCCAAGCCATCCTGGCCGCAGTAACATATGTGGAACAAAATCAGCAAAGTCAGCACTCCTTACCATAGGCAAAACAACTATTAGGGATCTGTCTAAAAAGTATGTGATGTTTGGCTAGTTTTGTTTAAGTAATACTTATAATACTTACGAGAAAGAAAAACAAAAATGAGACTGGATGCATTTGTGGAGAATTCCTTAAGGGATTCTTTAGGTGAGAGAGAACCAGCTAAATTTGTAAGTAATGTATTTATTTAATTTTTTTAAACAGAAGCTTCAAGTGTTACCATAGTTAGCTGATTACTGGTGGGAAAGGAAGCAAGGAGGAGACATTGTTGCTCATGTTCAGCTGGGAAGCTGAGGCCTGTTTGCTTCACTGGGAAGTACAGCTTCACACCCCAAGAAATTGCAGCATTGTTCCTTCAAGGGACTAACACCCCTCCCTTCCCTCCTCCAGAACTGGGTTGTAGCGGGAGCATGGGGAGGTAAGGAGATGCACAGTGAAAGTAAAGATGGTGCAGGGGAGGTGCTGGACCATAGAGGCCTGTCAGTCGAACCTGGGAAAAAGATCATGGAGCCAATGCAAGCCCCGGAAAGTTTGGGAAGCTGACTGGTTATTTTGAAAAAGCTCTGGTTCCTCCCAAGCCTGAGAATACATAATTCCAGGTGAGCAAAGGTCTCTCTGTTGCTCGTGACCCATGCTTTCTCCGTGCACTTGCCTGTTCTCTCTCCATAGCCATGTGGCCCTAGAAGCCTTATGGCTGATGGCTGCTCCGACTGCAAACACAGGCTCCAGGTGGGAGCCTGGACACCACAGCACAGCAATGGATTGCAGCCGGGAACACAAGCTAAGTTAGGGGAATGCTGGACTGAATTAAGCTTTAATATGGCACAGAATCTCTGGACATAGACTCTATTTTTGGCCCTGATTCTCCTGGTGAGACAGACAGAGATGGGACATTGGGGAACTCCTTTAATTTTGCTTCCTGAATAAATTTTGCCACCAGACCTCATCCTCTCTTGTGGGTCCCTGGAAATGCATTTGCTCGTGACACCGCAAGAACCCCACAGCCACCAGCAACAGAAGGGTTGTATAATGAAAGACAAAGCCATTATAAAAGGGAGAGGACCCAATTAAGCAGGTTCAGCTCTGGCCCGGGTGAATTATAAAAAATTGTGGGCTTTCTTAGTGAGTGTCTATGATTTAAGGAATTATGAGGAGAGAAGAGGTCCCTGGGCATCTAAAAATGAGAATTGTTGCATTTAACTAGGATGACTTTGGCCTGGCATTTTGTTTGTTTGTTTGTTTATTTACTTATTTATTTAATCCTCACCTGAGGATTTTTTTCCACTGCTTTTTAGAGAGAGTGGGGTGGGGAGAGAGAAACATGGATGTATCACATCAGTAAGTTGCCTCCCACACTCGCCCCAACCAGGGCCATGGATCGAGCCTGCAACCCGAGGTAGGTGCCCATGGCTGGCACTTAACCTGGGACCCTTCATTACTCGGGGTGACACACTAACCACTGAATCAAGCCGGCTAGGGCTGGCATGGCATTTTGAAGGAGGCAGTCATATATACTGTAACTAGCTGCATTTGGGTTCTGTAATTTACCATACAAATAATTAGAGCTTATCAGAGCCTGAAAAGCCTCCCAAAAACCTGAGAATAGGCTCATGTGGGTTAAAGGAGGTGAAGGACTGTGCTCGGTACACAATAAGCCCTTGTCAATATTTGCTGGTTTGAACAGAAATGAAACCTAACCTGAATGAGGTCCCAATTTGCTAACAATGGGGAAGGTCACGGTTGCCTAGGTAACAGTGAAGTGACTAGAACACTTGGTATAAAGGTGGGTCTCAACAGTTGACTCACCAGCAGTTGCACAACTGTGGCAGTGGGAGAGGCGAAGGAAACATTAAGCGGAGGTGGATCGGTGGACCAACCAAGTCTATCCTGACACTGAAGCAGAAAGTATTTGTATATCATCACCTTTTTCTAAAAGTCAGAGAATTTTCCACTTGTTCACCAGGATGGAAAACTCAGACTCTGGCGATGAAGGAGATGAATCTGTGGCCCAGGGCAGAAGGCAGACAGGCCAATTGGCTCGAGATTTCTATCGATTTGTAAACAACCTGAGTGAAGACGATTATAAGCTTATGAAGGGTAACAATTTGCTAGGCAACCCAGGTGAAAGTACAGAAGAAGAGCTGCAGAGAAGACTTCACCTAATTAAAGAAAACCTACTGGAAAACTCGGGTGAAAATACAGGTATATTTTGCTTGTGAGAGAATAGGATGGGATGCATAAGGAACTTCCTAACAGTGAATGTCAGCCAGAGATTATACAAAGTGGGACAAATTAATTTGGTGCTAAGTAACTTCTCATAAAACCAAACCTAGCATATATTTGTTTTTTGGTGAGAATGTCAAGGTACATTTTTTTTCCTGATTCACATGTGGGTTGTTTTAATTGGGAAACTGTGAAATAAATGATTGATATTTCCTTGGTTTTCCACTACAATTGAAAGTTCCTCCTACTTCCTGAATTATTTTTTTCTATATTGACATGTGACATCCTTAGCAGCAAAAATAAGTATTTCATATTCTGATCAAGTAGTTCTCAACTGGGGGTATTGGACAATGTCTAAATATATTTTTGGTTGTCATGATTGACTATGATGAAGTCTTTGTGAAAGTTGACCCAGGTAGGGGATGGGTGCTACTGGCATCCAGGGGGCAGAGACTAGGAATGCTACCAAACATTCTACAAAGCACAGGAGGGCTTCCCAAAACAAAGAACTGTACAGTGCCAGAATGTCAATAGTGTTAAGGTTGATAAACCTTGCTCTAGCCTCAGGTCTGGTGCTTCTCTCCCAGTGTGAAGTAGAGACTTTTACTGTGTAATGAAGAGGATACTGAGTTTGGTTCTTGAATGTGGTCTTATACGTACTATGCTAGGTTCAGGCTATTCATTTGATTTAACCTTCAATGTCATGTCAATTTAAAATCTTGGTAACATTAATAAGTATTCAAATAGTTTTAAACCTATAAACCTTCTTCATATTTGGGTAATGGCTACAATAGCCTTATATTTTAAAACAACTTTATATATTATCCAAAGCACTTAAGTCAAAAGCCTAGAAGTAATGTTGTAGACTAATAAGAATTACACAATAATGGAAACTGAAGTAAAATAACAAGCACTGTACCTTAACTGGTATTTGTCTTGCTTAATTTTCAGTAAATTTTGACAGTGGAGTGAAAAAACCATTCTTTCTTAACATTCCTCCCATAGTGGTACACAAAGCTGTGTATATAATGAAATATTGAAAATAGACATCTTCCAGATTTCTTTTAAAAAAATCCTTTTAATTTATCTAGGGTTATCTCTGTCTTTTCAGATGGAATTGAAACTTTCCTGCCTTGTCAATTTACAGCATAGTTTACAAAATATTAATTCTATAAATGTGAAAAGAGCTGAGCATTTGTTATCATCTTTTCTTTGTTTTTGAAACAAAGTTTCAGAGTGCTATATTATGATGGCTCTGATCTTGGTATTTCCTTTCTCAGTTCCCCCTTTTTTTGTTAACAGGTGAAGGAGACTCTTCAGATGATATATCTAGCAGTGACTCTTTAATAGACTGGCTTACCTCTTTTGAACCAACTGAAAATGTGACAGGTGGGCAAAGAGAACACCATCCTTGGAGAGACGTGAGCCAGGCTAATCCACACAGTGAGTTCAGATTCAGTTCTGGCAGTCCAAGTGGAGAAAATAAATATGCACCATCTACAAGACTTCCCAGAAGAGAAACTATGGAAGACAACCACAGTCATGTGGAAAACCCACAATCTCAATCAAGATCTGTGCGACCATCTAGATCAGAACAAAGTACACCTAGAGCATCAACAAAAGTCCCTCCTACCAGAGGTCAGAAGAGAGCAAGAAGCAGAAGCCCAGACCACAGTAGAACAAGAGCAAGAACTGAAAGTATGTCGCTTCCACGTTCACTGGGTCAACTTTCACAAAGACTCCATCATAGTCAATCATCTGTGAAGAATGGCTCTATGAGAGACCAGCTTAACTCTTTCAAACAAACTACACATGTGACAAGTGGGCAAAGAGAACACCAACCTTGGAGAGAAGTGAGCCAGGCTAATCCACACAGTGATTTCAGATTCAGTTCTGGCAGTCCCACTGCAGGGAATAAATATGCACCATGTGCAAGACTTCCTAGAAGAGGGACTATGGAAGACAGCCACAGTCATGTGGAAAACCCACAATCTCAGTCAAGATCTCTGAGACCATCTGGATCAGAACAAAGTACACCTAGAGCATTAATGGAAGTCCCTCCTACCAGAGGTCAGAAGAGAGCAAGCAGCAGAAGCCCAGACCATAGTAGAACAAGAGCAAGAACTGAAAGTATGTTGCTTCCACGTTCACTGGGTCAGCTTTTACAAAGACTCCATCATAGTCAATCATCCCTGAAGAGTGGCTCTATGAGAGACCAGCTTAACCCTTTTGAACAAACTACACATGTGACAAGTGGGCAAAGAGAACACCATCCTTGGAGAGAAGTGAGCCAGGCTAATCCACACAGTGATTTCAGATTCAGTTCTGGCAGTCCCACTGCAGAGAATAAATATGCATCATGTGCAAGACTTCCCAGAAGAGGAACTATGGAAGACAACCACAGTCATGTGGAAAACCCACAATCTCAATCAAGATCTATGAGACCACCTAGATCAGAACAAAGTACACCTAGAGCATTAATGGAAGTCCCTCCTACCAGAGGTCAGAAGAGAGCAAGAAGCAGAAGCCCAGACCACAGTAGAACAAGAGCAAGAACTGAAAGTATGTCTCTTCCAGGTTCATTGGGTGAACTTTTACAAAGACTCCATCATAGTATGTCATCTCCAACTTTTGAGCAGCCTTTGGTTAATGAGACTGAGAAGTTTTTTAGAACTCAGCACCAAGAAACATCTAGACAGCAAATAACTGGACTTAACTGGCAAAATGGGGGTCCTTTTGCAACTTCTGGAATAAGGAATGGAGTTCAAGGAGAATCTTCTCCAGACACAACCACTGATGGTGAATCTTGTGGACTGAGACAGAGAAGTCCAACTACATGCTTCTATTCTGAAGTAGGACGAGTTCTTCCTGTAGTATATTCTGAGAGAGACAACATAACTAGCAGACATCAAATAACATCTGAGACACCAGATAACACTGTCACTTTAGAAAGTGAACAAGGAGAACTTAGGCATATGTTTTCACATTATGAACAGGCAGATGTGAGAGCTTATATTAGCACCATTGGAATTCCCTTTTGTAGAATTTTAAATGATACAACATCTGGTGCAATTCAAAGCACATTAAGGGAGACAATGACAGATTTTAGTGACTCGAGTAATCTTATGGACAATGACAGTGATTTAGAGCCTAGTCTCTCAGCCCTAAGTAGAAACATGGAAAGGGAAGAGTCACCCAATGGAAGAGATAGTTCTCATAGTAGAAGGAGTTCTGGTTCCAATTCAAATTCTAGCTCTGATTCCAGTTCACATTCCACATTGACTTCCAGTTCATACTCCAGTTACACGTCCAGTTCCAGTTTTAGTCTGATGTCCAGTTCCAGTTCCAGTCTGATGTCCTGTTCCAGTTCCAGTCTGATGTCCAGTTCCAGCTCCAGTTTGATGTCCAGTTCCAGCTCCTTCAGTGATGAAAATTCAGAAATTAGCATAATGTTCTCTGAAGGCAGTGATGAAGGAAGATTATCACCACACTCATCATCAGAAACCAGGAGTGACAGTAGATCTATGACCCCAATAACATCTGATGAAAGTGAATCTTGGGCCTCCCTTGATCAGTTTTTTCTCTTGAATGATAATCATAACCATCCTACAGGACTCAGCAAAGCAGAGATTGACAACTTGGCTATAAGATGTTTTGCTGAAAGTGATACATTAAAAGTCTGTATCATTTGTATTACAGAGTACACAGAAGGCAACAAGCTTCGCATCCTACCTTGCTGTCATGAATATCATGTCCACTGCATTGATCGCTGGCTGGCTGACAACTCTACCTGTCCTATTTGTCGCAGGAAAGTAATAGATTCTGGTGAGAGAGAAAATTCTAATTGAGATGTGAATTCTCAGCTATATAAACTGTTATAGTGATGGACAAACAACAGTCACTTGGCTTACATCCACTTTTGGAATGATGCTTAAATATACCAATCTGAATCTAATTATGAATCTAAATGTAACAATATGCACCGAACCATTGGTTCTTGAAGGAATTACTGTACTTTCCCCAATTTTTGTTTGAGAATAAAAGGAAATATGTATATTTTTCAAATTATAAGAGAAAGTTTATTTAGAAAGTTACAGAGGTAGTAGGAATGAGCCAGCTGGGCTACATAGGCTCAGGAAACAAGTTACAGAAGCAAAAGAGCCCTTGGAGCTTAGGAGAGAGAAAGGCAAAGGTATGCGCCTGGGAGGAGGAGGAAGGGGGAGGGAAAGGTGCAGGTGTGAGCTCCTGAGAGGGAGAGCACACTGAGAATAAAAGGAAATAATAAAAAGTCAAACAATATTGACCTACCTGACAGTTAAAAAAAAAATTTCAAATTTCACACTATAGCAAGTCACTGAATTTCAAGAAAAACTTAGCAGGTACACTGGGTTGGCTTGACCCTTATACCATAAGAGAAATGTCTTAATATGATATAATCAACCCACACAGATCCTCGTAGTCTCACCTAGTCATGTAAATTGTAGACAACCATGTCCTAGCTTGTATGTACATGCAAAGAAACAGGAGCCCGGCCATAATAACTAAGCAATTTAAGAATTTATTAGAGTCACTCACAGAAAGAAGTCATGTTACATTCATAGAATGGTGTAAAAAGCTTTGAAAACCTTCCTCTCTCTCTAGCAGTCTTTATCACACCCTAATACTGTCTTGAAATTTCTCCCATTCCCTACTACCAATGTATCAGTCAGAGGCCTAGCTGAAAATTAATGGCACACTTTTAAATGATGGAACAGCATTTAATGGAGAGACTACTTACTAAAGCGTATAAGGAATGGAGGGAAAGCAGATGATGAGGCACCCTGAGGCTAGCAACTGTGAGGAGCCAGTATTATCACCACTAGGACTGAACGGGCATAGAGACCGCAACCCAGAATGTCCTGTAATTGTAACAGAAGGCCACCCGACAAGAGCTGCGACCTTAAATAGGCAAATGGCAGCCACTGCCAACCTAAAGTCTGAGGGGGGTCACGGCAGTAAATGCCCTTACCTTGCTTTCCTCCTGACCTCTAAACTCCTGTTGGTAGTTCACGTTAGCCAAACCCAACCTGAAGACAGAGCGCGAGAGCCTGGTCAGAGCGCGAGAGCCTGGTGGATAACGCTATTCAAGGTCAGCCTCCTGCAACCACAGACCAGGGCAGAAAAGGATGGTGAGTGTACCTGAAGAGCAAATCAGAGACCACCTGTCACAGCCAGCACTCCGGCTCTCTTCAAACCCGGGCTGCCTCTGCTTTCTCGCCTCTTCCTCTTGTCCTCCATTCCCTGCTCTTTGCCTCAGCTCTTCCACAACCCTCTTAAGTACTCCTAGCTTGTATGACACAGCAGGTACATTTCATCTTTAGAAGTGATGAGATGACAGACCCTTAGAACTTAATTCTCTTAGACATGTTTGCACTTTGGTTGGCTGTGATCGTAAACAACTAAAGAAAAAGGGCAGGATAGGTATTTAATTTTTGCTTCATGAGTATATTTAAGCTTCAATATCTTTTTTATATATAAGTTTAGTTCATATAATTATTTTTAAATAGATTATTTTTTATAAAGGGTTTCATGGTTTAGACATGACTCTTAATCTTTGTGCGAATGATCCAAAGCATCTAGTTGCTATTTGGAGCCTCCCAAGTTGCAATCTAAAAGCCTTAAAAGTAAAACCCAAGTTAACAGGTCTACTAATTCGGTTCTAATTGTCCCCAGTAAAAATAAAAAAATCACCCCAAATCATGCCTATTTAAAATAAAATTTTAGATTAGGTTTCCTTTCCAATCCAAACAGTTATGGATTTTTCTCCTAATGCAGTCTGAAAACTCAACTCTTTTTTTTTTGGTGGTGGTGGTGGTGGGGCATATATTGGCCAGTCCAGTATATTTTACTTAAAATTTTCAATCCTGGTTTAGGTGATAATACATATTAAGACCTAAAGTAATACAATAGTCATAAATTTTGTGCAATATGAAACCTACATAAATGTGGACAGTGTTAAGTATTAACCTGCTCTAAAAATTTAAAGTCAGAATAATTACTGACCTTTATGTCCTCCATGAATTGCTGATAGCCACAGTAATTGCACAGAACTATACAATATAAATGGGGAGTGGTGGTGAAGTCTTTCAATATATCTTTGCGTTAGCATATGTTTCACACAGAAGATACTTGCATGACCAGAAATGTAGACTTAGATCAAGCCTCTAAAGTTTCACATTAAATTATGAAAGGTGTGTGAATATTCTGGTTTTTATTGAGTATTTCTAATACCAGACCTATTTCATTTAAAGTAAGTTGAGTAATTATAAAGCAGTTGGCTTTCTTTCTGTCCTAATTTTTGCTTTAACCCTCAAAAATAATTTAGGAAACTCAAGAGAAGGAGGAAAGTCTCCTGTAATCACCCATATTTTTGTTTACTGCGTTCCTCCTTCCTTAATCATACCCCAAGGTCCTTTCTTTTATCGTTCCCTTTCCTTTTAGTCATTCTTTTGGGGTAGGACTGCTAGTAACAATTCTCTTAGTTTTTCTTTACCCAAAAATGTTTTGATTTCCTTTTTATTCCTTAACAATATTTTGGCTGAACATAGGTTTCTGGGTTGAGAGTTCTTTTATTTTAGTAGCTGAAACATATTATGCAACTTCCTTCTGGTCTCTGGTTTCTGATGAGAAATCCAACTTAATTCCAATTGTTTTTCTCTTATCAGTGAGGCATTGTCTCTTTCTTGTTACTTTCAAGATGTTTTCTTTGGCTTTTAGAAGTTTGATATGTCTTGGTGTGCACTTCTTTGGATGTATCCTATTTGGAGTTTGCTCAGGCTTCTTGAATCTGTAGGTTATGACTTTCCCCCTAGTATTAAAGAAGTTTTCAGTCGTTATTTCTTCGGATACCTTTTGACTCCTGCTCCCTTTCTTTTCTAAGACTTCTATGACAGGATTGCTATATTTTATTTATTTATTTATTTATTTATTTATTTATTTATTTATCCTCACCCGAGGATATGTTTTTACTGATTTGAGAGAGAGAGAGAGAAACACTGATGTGAGAGAAACATCAGTCGTTGCCTCCTGTATGCGCCCTGACCAGGGATCAAACTGGCAACCTAGGTATGACGACCTGACCCGGAATCAAATCTGCAATCCTTTGGTGTCCGGACGATGCTCCAACCAACTGAGCCACTAGGCCAGGGCAGGATTGTTATATTTTTTTTCTTATAGTTCCACAGTTCCCCAAGGCTCTGTTCATTTCATTTTTGTGTTCTAGCCCACTTTTTTTCTTTTTTTTTTTTATTGTGGGAAAATAATGTAAACTTTAACATTTAGCCCAGCTGGGCGTGGCTCAGGGGTTGCGCATAAACCTATGATTCAGGAGGGTGAGGGTTCGATTCCGGGTCAGGGCACATGCCCAGGTTACGGGCTCGATCTCTAGCAGGGGGCATGCAGGAGGCAGCCGATCAACAAGTTTCTCATTACTGATGTTTCTCTCTCTCTCTCTCTCCCTTCCTCTCTCTGAAATCAATACAGATATATTAACAAAATAAAAAACTTTAGCATTTAAACCCCCTTTATCAATTCAGTGCAATTCAGTGTCATTGAGTGCGTTAACTATTACCACTTTTCCATCATCCAAAATTAAAACTCTCCCCCCCGTCAACAGTAACTCCCCATTCTCTCCTCTTCCCAGGTCCCAGGAACCATTATGCTACTTTCTCTATAAACTTGACAATTCTAGGTACTTAATATAAATGGAGGCCAACAATATTTGTCCTTTTGTGCCTGACTTATTTCATTTAGCATAATGTTTTTAAAATTCATCCATGTTGTAGCATATATCCGACTTTCTTTTTAAGGCTGAATAATATTCCATTTTATGTATATACCGCATTTTGTTTATCAATTCATCTGTTGGACATTTGAGTAATTTCCAACTTTTGGCTATTTTGAGTAATGCTGCTATGAATGTTGGTGTACAAATATCTGTTTATGTCCCTGCTTTTGATACTTCGGGGTATATACCTAGATGTGGAATTGCTGGATCATTTGGTAATTCTATGTTTAATTTTTTGAAGAACTGCCACACTCTCACAGTGGCTGTACCATTTTATATTCTGTTCATCTGTGTACAGATTGGGTAATTTCAATGTTCCATCTCCAGTCCACTGATTTTTTTTTTTCTCTGTCCTTTCCATTCTGCTGTTAAGCTCATCCATTGGGCTGTTTTGTGGTTTTGTTTTTAAAATATGTTTGTATTGATTTTTTTAAAGAGAGGAAGGGAGAGGGATAGAGAGATAGAAACATCAGTGAGAGAGAAACATCACTGATTATCTGCCTCCTTCATGCCCCCCAGGGGGAATCAAGCCCGAAACTCAGGCATGTGCCCTGACCGGGAATCAAACCGGTGACCTCTTGGTTCCTGGGTCAATGCTCAACCGCTGATCCATGCCCGCCGGGCAAGGCTTTTAAAATTTTTAAAAAATTTTTGGTTATTGTATTCTTTAAGTTCTAAATTTCCATTTGGTTCCTATTTATATCTTCTATATCTTAGCTGAGACTTTCAATTCCCCTGCTGAAACATTTTATTTCAAGTGTGTTTGTGATTGGTAGCTGAAGCATCGTATGAGGGCTGCTTCAAAATCTTTTCAGATAATTCTAACATCTCTGACGTGTCAGTGTTGACATCTATCGATCGCCTTTTTTCATTCCGTTTGAAATCTTTCTGGTTCTTGAAGAGATGATTTTTTCAACTGAAGCACAGACTTTTGCATATTTTGTGATGGAACTGCTTCAGCCGGCTCCCCCTGGCACAGCTCTGGCAATGGAAGGCGGGAGCCCTTCCTCTTACTGCCCCACGACAGTGACGCTACCGGCAGAAGCTGCACAGTCAGCTTCACGGGGCCCCCCGGGGGAGGGACCAGGCCAGCTTCACGGGGCCCCCCAGGAGGGGGAGCAGGCCAGCTTCACGGGGCCCCCCAGGAGAGGGAGCAGGCCAGCTTCACCGGGGCCCCCAGGAGGGGGAGCAGGCCAGCTTCACCCGGGCCCCCAGGAGGGGCGGCAGGCCAGCTTCACGGGGCCCCCCGGAGGGGGAGCAGGCCAGCTTCACGGGGCCCCCCAGGAGGGGGAGCAGGCCAGCTTCACCGGGCCCCCCAGGAGGGGGAGCAGGCCTTCGTCCCCGGTGGGGAGGCAAGTTCCAGCTCCGGGAGCGCCGGGCAGGGGCCTTCCCGCTGCGCCCTCGGCTCCTGGGGGGTCTCGCCGCTGCGGGGGGAGCGGCTGCCCCCCTGTTCTCCGGGGAGGCTGGAGGTCACGTCCTCCGCTCGATCTCCACCGACAGTGCAGAGGACACTGCTGCTGCCGCTTCTTCCTCTTTTTTTTTTTTTTTTTTTTAAAAACACACACAACAAAGACCCTTTTTATTATNTTCGTGGCCCTTATGTAACTCTTACATGACACGAACAGCAGCAAAGGGCTATGAATTCTGGTAATTCTGAAAACAAAGATTTTCTGCATCATGTAAGTGGTCAGAGACAGCCATTTAAAATTATGTAGCACCAAAAAATGCAACATCGCCCACCACGAGCGAACGGAAGGCGGCCGGTTCTGCGCGTCGGTTTCCTAACGGGGACGGGAGCCAGCGAGACGCCTCGCAGCGGACAAGGCTGGGAAGCGGGGTTACCCCGTCAGACGTGGCGGAAGCTTGACCCATGAGGCGCTACATAAACGTGAGTGACCACGCCGTTCTCAACGGCCCAGCGGAGACTGGCTGCGCATGACGTGGAAAACGCTTTATTTTTTCCAAAATGAAAAGTTTAAAAACATCAAATATTCAGTACCGTTGCTCTCAAACTCTCCGCGCACTGTCGGTTAGGGAGACACATCCCCACGCTTTCCAGTACCTGTGTCTGTGTTTTGTCACGTGCGCGGTGAACCAGGCCCGCGGCGCGGCTGCAGGTCGGCTGCCCTCTCAGGGCCGCAACCACCCCAAGCGCGCGGCCGGAAGCACA